AGTACACACCCACAGAAGTTGTTAAGCCTACGTTCGTACACCCACAGAAGTTGTTAAGCCTTGTTAACCCACAGAAGTTGTTAAGCCTTCCACAGAACATCTGTTGCATATGATGCATATGGTACATGATACACATGATACACATGATACGTACTCACAAGATAGTTGATCACATCTTTAGGGCAAATTCCTGAGGGATGCGGTTTTTTTTAAGATTCGGACAGCGCGCGCGGGTAGAAATTTTGAAAAGTCGTGCAGGTGTTTTTCGAGGACCTACGGTGCGATTCGTGTGATTTTATGATGCGCGGTGCTAAAATTCTTAAGAACCCAATGGTTTTTGGAGATTTCGGCGTGCGCGCGCGAAGAAAAAACGAATGTGTCCCGCATGGTATTATTTGACAGGGATGATGGCCCTGGCAGGTGCGCAACCGTTGTCGCAGAAGTTCGAAAAAGTTGCTCGCAAAAGCCCGTTTGACAGAAATGTTTAAAAAGTGTTGGTTTTCCTACGAATCCGCAAGAGCGCGCGGGATGAGATTTTGACATTTTTTTGTTGAAAAACCATTGGTTTTTTGATGTTTTTATGTTAAAATCGCTCCGAACACTAAGCTTTTGGAAGGATTTCGTCTTGCGCGCGCGAATGTCCACTTTACCTTATTTTTTGCAAGGGATTCTTGAAATTTGATTATATTAGAACAAGAAATGTCATTTTATAGTGTTTTTTGCAAGGGAAAACGGATTACAACAAAACAACCGGATCTTGATCACCTCGAATTACCTGAGGCTTCCTCACGAAAATGATGAAAACGTGGCTGCGGCCTAGGCGCGGCGGGGGGGGCGCGCACCAGGGGGCCCAACAATAATTATTCTTTAGAATTAATAATGTTCAACAACAACACCAACGCTCCAGCTCGATACTCCCATTCATTTTGCCAAGAAAAGGGGCCCACCCAACAAAAGCGGCGCTCCCGCTCGACAGGCTCCTGCTTGTTACTCAGGACCGGCGCTCCCGCCTCGGCGCCACGACCAGACCTCACTACAAACATCGACGCTCCCGCTCGATACTGCCTGCGTTTTTACTCAAGAGTGGCGCGCTTGCTCGCCGCCGAAAACGTGCCCTCCATTGAAAATCAAGCGCTCCCGCTCGATACTTCCTTGCTTTCTAATTCGGACCGGCGCCATGTTACTCGCCGCCGAAATCCGGCCCCCGAAAACCAGCACTCCTGGTTGATACTTCTTCGATTTCTGCTCAGGACGGGCACTTTCACGTCGGCGCCGACGCCCACTACGGAACTCCCGCTCGATATTTTTTCCGTTTTTACCTGAGGACTGGAGCTTTCGGGCCCTCCATTAAAGCCAGGGCTGCCGCTCTAATTTTTTTGACTCTTATTCAGGACCGGCGCCATTTTGCTCGCCGCCGAAAGCCGGCTCTCCAACAAAACCAGCGCTCCCGCTTGATACGTCCTTGTTTTTTACCCAGAAGTGGTGCTCGCGCCTTAACGCCGCAAACCAGCCACCCTACAATTACAACGCTCCCGCTCGATATTTCCTCGCTTTTTGCCGGACGATGCTGACATCGTCTCGGCATCGCTTCTAAAGGGCTCCAGGCGGCCTCCGGGAGGTTAAAAAAACCAGCGAAGGCGCCGCAAGCGTCCCGAGGAAGCGCCCATAAACTCCCAAGAGCGCCCGAAGAGGCTGTCCAAGGTCCAAGGGGCTCCGGGGGCCTGTCCAAAGGGTTTCGGGGGCTTTCCCGGAGGTTCTGGGGCCTCTCCCAAAGGTTTGGCCCACTCGGGCATGGTGATACCTAAAAGCAAGGCATGGGCAGGGCGATTGCGAAGGCGATGTGCTATCCGGGCTGGAGTGTGGAGGTGCGTCGAAAGAGGTGTGTTGTCAAGACCTCCTCGGGCGGGAGATCTGGGCAAGGGAATATCGGCCCCCCCTGTGCCAACAAATCCCCCAGAGGCAGGAGCCATCATGATGAATGCGTGCTGCATCTAGAATCACAGAACATTCGGGTAGGTGAGTGCTGTTGTTGCTTCTGCTGCTTATGTTGTTGTTGCTGTTGTTTGGGATATTGTTGCTGCGTTGTTTATTGTTTGTTGTCGTCGCCCCCCCCGGGACCTGGCCCGCGACAAACCCGCGACCGAGCCCGCGACCCACCCGCAACCCACCCCGCGACCTACCCGCGACCCCCCCGCGAACCCCCCGCGACCTACCCCGCGACCCGCCCGCGACACACCCGCGACACACCCGCGACCCACCCGCGACCCAGCCTGCGACCCACCCACATAGCTTGCACGAAAAAGCTGGCGCCTGCGGCAGGTCGGCTGTATAATTTGTGAAGATTGGGCGCCTGCCGCGGGATTTTCCACAGCCTCGCAGACTGCCGACGTCTCCGCCGCCCCCTCACACTTATCCGCAACTGCGGGGTGCTACGTAGCCCATTATGACAGATTTGCTAGACGTAAGGCTGTCTTGCATGACTATATCACTGTTCCCGATATATACACACATATATATATACACATACAGATAACAATCATATATGTTCGTGTGTATATATATATATATGTATCAACACCCGCTTCCCCAGGCGACCCGCAGCCAACCAGGACCAATGAGACCACCCCGACCATCCCTCAGAAAACAATGTGAAGTCCACGCTGGGGCACAATCTTGGGTCATGATCGGGGGGGGGCGCGAGCACTTTGTATGTTCTGTTGTCAGGGGCGGCGGGGTTGCCCGCATACTGCCTGCTGCGCGCAGGACCAGCATCCCTGTCAAAAAAACGCTAGAAAATTCACTTCGAGACAACATCTGGATCATGCTCGGGCACCCCGCGATCACTCTTCAGTAGTTTCTGTCTGGGACGACGGGGCTGCTGGCAGATTGCCCGCTATGTGCAGGCCAACCAGACGCTATGATGGCCACCGCGCCGCGATTGCGCACTGGTTTTCGACAAGGATGGTGGGGGCCGACACGTTTCTCGATGTGTACTGCCACGTGCGACTACCGCTGAACACGCCGCGTCTCGGGTGCTACTTATGTGTTTGGAGGGCGGGAAGGAGAGAGTGAGACGGCTTGCGGGTGGGGAGGGTGCCTTGATCTCCCCCTCTTCACCCCCCAGATCTTCGCCACATCCTCCGAATCAAAAGCGGTGCCCCCCATCACCATCATCATCATCATCATCATCATCATCATCATCATCATCATCATCATCATCATCATCAGCATCATCATCATCAGCATCAGCATCAGCATGATCATCATCATCATCATCATCATCATCATCATCATCATCATCATCATCGTCATCGTCATCATCGTCATCATCATCATCAGCATCATCATCAGCATCATCATCAACATCAACCACCCATCCATCTCATCCTCATCCTCATCCTCATCCTCGTCCTCCTCATTCTCATCACCATCATCAACAGCATCAGCGTCATCATCAGCCTTTCGTCACCATCACCATCATCCTCATCCTCATCCTCATCATCCTCCGTATCAGCATCCTTTTCCTCATCATAAGCAGCGACATCATCAACAGCAGCATCATCATGGTCATGGTCATGGTCATGATCACGATCCTCGCACTCACCATCACCACCACCATCAATATCATGATCATGATGATCATCATCATCATCAGCAGCACCTCGTCATAATCATCATCATCACCATCATCACCATTATCACCATCACCACCATCATCATCATCATCATCAGCAGCATCATCATCATCATCATCATCATCATCATCATCATCATCATCATCATCATCATCATCATCATCATCATCATCATCATCACTGACCACCGTTATCACACTCGCTTCCAACACCAGCGCAACGCAGAAGCGCATACCGCATGTAATGGCTCCCCCCCGCCTCTGGACGCGAGGCATACCGCGCTTCGGCGTCCTACCGACCGACGCCCAGGCTGCTGGGCTGGCAGGGTGGCGGAACCTGCCGCAGGCGGCTGCATGGTCTTCTGGCTGTAGAACACTGCGTCTACTGGCCGGGCGACGACCTGCGCGGGGACGCTCGCGGGCTCCAGCCACGCCGGGTTCCTCTCGAGGAGGCGCTGAACGTGGGCGGCGTCCTCCTGGGGCACGGTGACGAGCAGATCTGGCGGCGGCGGCCCGTCGGGCGGCCGCGGCGCCCTCTTGGGCCTCGGCCTCTCCACCGTGATGTTCATGGACGCCGTGCCCCCGGACGCCTCCACGGCGCCCAGGAGGCGCTCCACGAGGCTCTCGCCCTCCGCCTCCGCGGGCGCCGCCCGAAGCGGGCCCGCGCGGCCGCCGCGGGCCCTCTTCGCACCCGACTCGCTGGGCGCCCGCGCAGCGCGGCCGCTGGCACTGGGCGGGGTCGCCGTCCCGTCGCCGCCGCCCGCGCCGCCGCCGCCCAGCGACGCCCGGGGCACGCCTTGGCATGAGGGGGGCGGGCCCCGAGGGACACGGGTCCTGGACCCCAGGGGCCTCCTAAAGGCGAAGCCAGGACGAGGAGGACATCGGGTGAGGACAAGTCGGGGGTCTCTGAGATCCCGGCGGCTCTGGAGGATGTCTCGGGCGCCGCGGCCTTCTCGGAGCGTCCAAAGCACACGCTCCGAGAGCGTCCTGGAACGCTCGAGGACGGAGTTCTGCTCGTCCATGCCGCGCCTGACCTCCTCTGCTGGCCAGCCCAACAGCCTTCGGGGGCGGCGAAGAGGGGGGCGTCCAATAGGGGGGGGTGCAAATCATGACCGGCGGCACGTGCGCAGCCCAGGAGGGGGGCCAGGGACGTAATAAAATAAGAAGAGGCGCCATGGGATCTGGGGAAATATCATGGCCCAATCCATGATATCCACCCCCCCTAGTCATCCCCCCCCTCTTTGCCGCCCCCGAAACCTGCTGGGCCGCTCCTTTCGCAATCCCGGGAAGGCCCCGCGGAGACCCAAAAACGGCGCAACAGACCTCGGGACCCGATTCCCTGCGGGACCCGTTGGCTTTCCGGCGGACGCCTCCCTGCGCGCCGGCGGACGCCCCCGTGCGCGCCGCGGGGGAGCTGGGCGCCGCCGTCCGTTGCGGCTGCGGCTCGGCAGCCCGGTGCGGCTGCGGCTGCGGCTCGGCGCCCACGGGGCGTGCCCTGCTGAGAGGTCGAAGCCTCTCATGCTACTTGCGCCATAGGTGCAACATGCCTAAGTGATGTAGAGCAAGGCGTATAAGTCGTTCGTGTTGTGAGTATGTGTAGCTTTGTTTAAGCATGTGTGTTCGTTTGTGTGCTCCTGCGGTGTAAGTCTAGATGTGCTACTCAAAAGTACTTTCCATACTCAGCCGAGCGGGGCTGGTTATATACACATGTATATAGCACCCCGCAATTGCGGATAAGAGTGAGGGGGCGGGCGCGGGCGACGCGGGCGTCGTCAAGCCGGCGGACCTCGTGGCCCCCACCTTCCCTGTCGATGGCGCTCTCCCTCCTCCTCCTCCTCCTCCTCCTCCTCCTCCGCCTCCTCCTCCTCCTCCTCCTCCTCCTCCTCTTCCTCGTCCTCGTCCTCGTCCTCATCGTCATCGTCGTCCTCCTCCTCCACCTCGTCCTCCTCCTCTTCTTCCTCGTCCTCCCTCTCCCCCCCTCGTCCTTCCATCATCGTCCTCCCATTGTCGTCATGATCCTCCTCGTCGTCCTCCTCCTCTTCCCCCCCTCCCGATCCTCCCCCCTCCTCCTTCGTCGTCGTCGTCGTCGTCGTCGTCGTCGTCGTCGTCCCCTTCCTCTCCTCCTCCTCCTCCTCCTCCTCCTCCTCCTCCTCCTCCTCCTCCTCCTCCTCGTCCTCCTGCAAAAGCAGCCCGCCGCAGGCGCCGAAAAATTTGGTTTGTACACTGAACGTGGTTTGGGTCGCTGGTGGGCCGCGGGTTCTCCACCAGGAACGAATGCACAAGATGCCCGCCGCAGGCGCCGAAAAATTTGGTTGTACCCTGAACGTGGTCGCGGGTGGGCTGCGGTCTCTCCACCTAGAAGGAATGTAAAAGATGCCCGCCGCAGGCGCCGAAAATGTGGTTTGTACCCTGAACGTGGTTTGGGTCGCGGGTTGGTCGCGGGGTGGGTCGCGGGGTGAGTCGCGGGCTCTCCACCTGGAAAGAATTCAAAAAAAGCCCGCCGCAGGCGCCGAAAATGTTGGTTTGCACCTTGAACGTGGTTTGGGTCGCGGGTGGGTCGCGGGTGGGTCGCGGGGTGGGTCGCGGGTGGGTCGCGGGTGGGTCGCGGGTGGGTCGCGGGTGGGTCGCGGGTGAGTCGCGGGTGGGTCGCGGTGGGTCGCGGGTGGGTCGCGGGTGGGTCGCGGGGTGGGTCGTGGGGTGGGTCGCGGGTGGGTCGCGGGTGGGTCGCGGGTGGGTCGCGGGGTGGGTCGCGGGATGGGTCGCGGGGTGGGTCGCGGGATGGGTCGCGGGTGGGTCGCGGGTGGGTCGCGGGTGGGTCGCGGGTGGGTCGCGGGGTGGGTCGCCGGTGGGTCGCGGGGCGGGTGGCGGGTGGGACGACGACAACAAACAACAACAACAACAAACAACAACAACAACACGAATCCGCACCGCGGAATCCCACTTCAGCCACGCACCCAGGGACAGTGAATGACCGTTCGGCCCCCTCACTCTGATATATATATATATATATACAAACATAAATACAACTATGGGTAGGCCACTTAACCGATTTGAAGCTCCATTACGGAGCACGAAATAGAAAAGGCATATGTTTTTGTACGTGCATAAGGCATAAGTATATGTTTATGTATGTATATATACATATATGTATGTAAACGTAGCACCCCGCAGCTGCGGATCAGAGTGAGGGGGCGGCGGGGACGTCGGCAGTCTGCGAGGCGTTGAAGAAGCCCGCCGCAGGCGCAAAAGTTTTCTAGCTATACAAAGAGCCCGCCGCAGGCGCCGATTTTTGTTAACACAATGTAGGTGGGTTCCGGGTTGGGTCGCAGGTGGGTCGCGGGTGGGTCGACGGTTGGTCGCGGGTGAATCGTGGGCCGGGTCGCGGGTGAATCGCGGGTGGGTCGAGGGTGGGTCGCGGGTGTGTCGCGGGTGGGTCGCGAGCGGGTCGCGGGGTGGACCGCGGGTGGGTTGCGTTCGAGTCGCGGGGTGAGTCGCGGGTGGGTCGCGAGGTGGTTCGCGGGTGGGTCGCGGGCCGGGTGGCGGGTGGGTCGCGGGTGGGTCGCGAGCGGGTCGCGGGGTGGATTGCGGGTGGGTCGCGGTTGGGTCGCGGGGTGGGTCGCGGGTGGGTCACGAGGTGGGTCGCGGGTGGGTCGCGGGCCGGGTCGCGGGGGGGACGACGACACCACCACCACCACCACCACCACCACCACCACCACCACCACCACCACCAACAACAACAACAACAACAACACCAACAACAACAACACCAACACCAACAACAACAACGAGCATAATCCTCACCACGGATCCGCATTTCAGCCACGCACCCGAGGATAATGAATGACCGTTCGGCCCCCTCACTCTGATATACGTAGCTTGTAAGCTCCCTCCTCCCGGGCCTTCGGTGGAATTCCCCATGGCGGGGGGCACGCATGCCGACCTGCCCCATAGGCGGGGGGCACGCATGCCGACCCTGCCCCAGGGGTGTGCGGACATAGGCGGGGGCACGCATGCCGACCCTGCCCCTGGGGCCTTCGGTGGAGCTCCATATTTGGGCTACGAACCGTGTGAGGGGTGTGCCGAAATGGGTGGCGGTGACGCCTGTGGACCCTGCTCCTGGGGCCTTCGGTGGAGCCCCCACTGAGGCCACGAACCGTTTGAGGGGTGTGCGGAATTAGCCGACATGGGTGGCGGTGACGCATGTGGATCCTGCCCGTAGGGCCTTCGGTGGAGCTCCCCATGGGGCCAGGAATCGTGTGATCGGATTGAAACAGGAGGGTTGGGAATATGATGGTGATGACGATGATGCAGATGACGATGATGGTGATGATGACGCTGATGATGACGATGATAATGGTGATGACGGCATGCGGAGAGAAGCAGAGGAGGGACGCGGGGCGCTCTCTCTTCAGAACGAGGACCCAACACCACAGGATGGCTGGGAATGACGGTGGTGACGATGACGACGCCGAGGGAGGACGGGGAGGGCAGCGGGAGGGAAGGAGACGCGGGGCGCGGTCTTTGCAAAACGAGGACCCCACACCACACTGCAGCATGGTTGGGGGCACGGGAAAAGACAGGGCGGGGAAGGAGCGAGAGCGCGGCGCGGAGCCCTCACCTCGCCTCCTGCCCCAACTCCCCTCCAACGAAAGACTTGTTTACACACATGTTGAAGGGGCCCCAGGACACACACAAATAAATACACACAAATAAAAAGATTCCCCATGTTTTCCCATAGTTTCTGGGTTTCTGTCTTCCCCCCCCACTGCCCATAGTTTCCCATATTTTCTGGGGAATCGACCATTAATTGTGTCTGTGTGTGTTTCTTCCCCTCCTGACATGTATATGTTCTTAGAAGTCAATTATAGCTGTCGCTTAAAGTAAATTTCGAGCGACAGCCTAAGTAAGTTAACGCGTACCTTGGAGGTTGCCCTGAGTCGCTGGGCTACGTAGCTAAGGTACTTGAGATAGTTCTAGCTGTGGTTAGAAAGTCCAGGGTTCGCTAGGGACTGGTCTCCTTTCAAAAAACTGAAGCCCTCCCGAAACCCTCCGAAAACCATCCGGGAAGGGCTCCACGAGGGTTTTCGGAGGGTTTTGGGAGGGTTTCGTCATGGTTATCTTCGTTTTGGGCGGAAGCCAGTCCCTAGCGAATCCTGGGCTTTCTAAAGAAGAGAGGGGAGGGGCAAACCATGGCCGGCGGCACGTGCGCGGCCCAGGGGCGGCCCAAGGACGTAATGAAATAAGAAGAGGCGCCGTGAAATCTGGGGAGATCTCATGGCCCCCGCCATGACAGCCACCCCGCCCTGGTCTTCACCCCCCCCTTGGCCGCGAAAGCAGCACACGAGGCTTCGAAGTCTCCGTGCGGGTCCTCTCCAGGTCCGCGAGGTGTGCCCGGCGGAGCTCCGCGAGCTGGTGGCGGAGGCCGCCCGGGCGGGCGCTTTGGTCCGGCTCCTGCGCCAGGATGGCGCCCTCCAGCAGGTCGAGCTGGCGCAGCACGGCGTCCTCCTCCGCCCGAGACCAGCAATGGGTCCTTCCAAGACCCCCCTGGGTCTGAGAATGAATGAGTCTGAATACAATAGGAGAGCCCGACCACAAGAAAACTTCCACAAGAGAACCAACCCTGGAACCCCAGGACGCCCATTCATTTTTGGACAGGGAATGTCGCGCTTTCCAGGGCAAATCCACTGTATGAGTTCATCTGAATGAGTCTGAGTGAACCTGTATGTGAATGAGCCCCAGTGGGGGTGAGTCTGAGTGTGACGAGTGAGGCTGAGGATGAAGATGAGAAAAGACGCGGACTGAATAATAACAAAAAACCCATCTTGGGATATGAAAAAAGTACGGCGGGAGGTGTGCCGCTTTTGTTCGGCCTCCGGGGGCCCTCACAGGCCCTGGGGGCCGCCCGCAGGGGGCGCGGAGGTCAGACGAAACGGGTCACATGCTGATGTAGCCCGTTGCGGCTGACAGGCACCGAGAGAAGCAAGAGGAAACTTGCAGGTACTGCATGCGACCGCAGCCACTGGGGCCTTCGGTGTTCGGTATTTCTTCGGTTCGGTATTTCTGCGATGCGCGGCCCACTTGAGGTCCCAAATCCCATCGCCAGGGGTGGGTTTTTCGCCTCGGGCCTGTTGTTGGTGTCCCCGGGGCCCGATGACGGGCCCCATACGCCAAGATCTATGAAAATCGCCCGGCATGCCCCCCCAACAAAAAACATATCGTGGGAGATCTTGGAGTATCGGTCTCCCAGGCGTATGGAAAGGGACGCACGAAGATAGAATTACTAGTACGATGTGTCCTCCTCGGAGGCGTGCGTCCGCGTCCGACCTGAACATGTCTTTCAAACATCTTGTCGTATATCGTTTCCCGAGCGGTAGCGAAAAGACGCCCGCCACGAAGCACATACTGTAAGATTTCTCGGCGCGCGCGTCGCCCCTGGTGGGGGCGACGCACTGACAGCACTAGTATGTTGAGAGGCACCTAGATGCGGCCCCAGATCGCGCCACATCGCCGATGCAGTGGCGATGTTAGAGATCCTCCGACCCCATGCGCTCTGACCCCATCTGGGCGACGAAAAGAAAGGGACATGACGCGGGATGATGTTGCGACCATGCGCGGTGGGGCTCACGCGGGCCGCCAGCGCGGGACATCACGGTGGAGACGAGGGAGCTTGCCCGCGAGCTCTCGCGGGCAGCTTTCGCGGAAATGCCGGCGAAGACGAACCTGTTGTCCTTCGTCTTCCGCCTTTAAACACGAACCGGCTGTCCCAGCATTATTGTAGTTTAAATTAACACGACATGTTCTTGGAACGAAAGGCTATTCGCATAACAGAAACAATGACCTTAGAACACAAAAGTGTAAACCTTTCGTGTAAACCACAAAAGTTCTTCGCGCTCTCTTTGCTGGGCCTGTTATGCAAACCGGGACGCTGCGCCACCGCTCGACGTCTGGGAGGCCTAGGATGCTGTTGGGGCGCCGCCATGGAACCCCAGCGGTCTGGAACCTTGCCCCGAGACCGGCTACTCGGTCGAACGCCGCGAATAACCTACCGCCATGATCTGTTCATGACCCGAGGGGGTCCGGGTTCCGTGGTCGCACACGCACATCTGGGAGGCCTGGGAAGTTGTTGGCCTGGCGCCGATGGACAGATCCCAGCGGCCGGGTCGCCGATAGAGGGCCGCCGAGGGCCCTCCTAGAGCCGCCGAGGGCCGCCGAGGGTCCTACGCGGGCCGCCCAGGGGCAGCCGAAGGCCGCCGAGGGCCCTCCGAGGGCCGCCGAGGGCCATCAGAGGGCCGCCGAGGGCCGCCGAGGGGCAGCCGAAGGCCGCCGAGGGCCCTTCTGAGGGCCCTTCCGAGGGCCGCCGCGGGTCCTCCTCGCCCGGGGCGGGCCGCCAGGGGTCCTCCTCGCCCGGGGCGGGCCGCCAGGGGTCCGGCGGCGCGGTGCCGCAGCCGCCGCCGCCGTGGCGCTGCCCGGCCGCCTCGCGCGGCGGCGGCGCCGCCGCCGCCCACTGGCCGCTGCTGCCCCAGGCCTCCCCCGGCGCCTCGCGCTGCCCAGCAGGGCTCGAGCTACACGCGCAGCAGTGTCTGCCGTGGTCGTTCTGGCTGCGGTGTCCCTCGCTCTGTCGTCGTTTTGTGCCACCGCGGCAGCGGAACGGGATCAAAAAACGGAAACGGCCCACGAGAGAGACAAAACAACGTTTTGCTGGAGCCCCGCTGCCCAAATCTCCGACGATGCGCTTTTGTCGTTTGTCAGAGCCCGCTGTGATGGGCCAATGTTCCACAACCACTACCACAGGTAGGACGGGACAGAAGGGCGGATGGAGAAGCGCTCCTCTTCCCCATGCTCATTCTATTTCTCTTTCTCTGTCTCGTTTTTGTTCTCTTTCTCTTTCTCTGTCTCTTCCTCCTCCTCTTCGTCGTCCTCCTCCTCCTCCCTCTCCAACCCATGGTGGTGCTGATGGAAGATCGACCCATCACTTTAGGTTCTTAGGGGGCCAAGCAATGACGGAAACACGAACTTTGTGGGGTCCGCGCGGGTTCCTTGGATTGGCGCTTGAGCACGCTGGCGGAGCGCGACAGGGAGGGGGGTCCAGCGCCGATCGGAGTATGTGCCGCAGTCCATCATTTTCGCATCAAAAGGGCTCTGTACTGGAGCGGCGGTCACGACCAACACGGGGTCACACAGCCCCGCTGGGTCACACGGGGCCACCACGGGGTCGCATCAGCCCCGTGGGCCTCCCGAGGGCTCCCGAGAGGGGTCACGCAGCATGCCCGCAAAACGGACGTGCGACTGCCGCAAGATCTCACCTCCTCCTCCTCCCTCCTCCTCCGCCCTCCCTCCCTCCCTCCCTCCCTCCATCCCTCCTCCTCCTCCTCCTCCTCCTCCTCGTCCTCCTCGTCGTCCTCCTCCTCCTCCTCCTCCTCCTCCTCCTCCTCCTCCTCCTCCTCCTCCTCCTCTCCGTAGCCATTTTGGCTCAAGCCATTTTGGCTCAAGATCCATGGGCCCAAGCCGGCGCTAGTTTCTGACCTGACCCCAGACGCCGTGTAGCCCGTCGGCGGGCCACGGTGCATCCCGCGACATGGATGGCGCCTGCGCCGCACTGCCCTGCGAGGTGGGTGCGGCCTCGCAGAAGAAGGAGAGCAGAAGAAGGAAGCGGCGGTGGTGGCGATCCGCCACGCGCAGCGTGCAGCTTGCGCGCTGTCCGCCTCGCTTAGGCTGTCGATGCCCATGGAGTGGGTGGAGGCCGACGCGGGCCAGGGAGATGCGCCTGGAGTGTGGCACATCCCTGCTGCCGACACGCTGCACTGTGACGCGGTTGCCTGGGCAGCCGCAGCATTCGCAGATGGTGTCGCTGCGGGCTGTCACATCGTCCCTCTTCTCCGTGGCGACGACGCGGAGCCCGAGGACCAGGGCAGGATGCTCGACACCTTCGACGCAGTGGTGAGCACCGACGGCACCGCGATGGCCGACGATGCGAAGGTGAGCTTCAACGACTTCCCGCTGGTCGACGGGGACCAGCAGAGCAGGAAGAGCAACCAGGGCAGTACCCAGAACGCTTACGAGACGGAGGTGAACTCGGGCGACGTGCTGCAGATCCTGGCGCGGTGGGGGGCCGCACAAACAACCCCCAACAACGCGGAGCCCATGAGTCAGGGCAGGATGCTCAACACCTTCGGCACGAAGCTGAGCGCCGACGGCAACCTGGAGGCCGACGGGGCGCAGGTGAGCATCGACAACAGCCCGCTGGCCGACGGGGGCCAGCAGAGTTTCAAGGGCTACCAGGGCAGTACCCTCCCCACCTACCTGACGGAGGTGAGCAAGAGCGACGTGCTGCAGGACCTTGCGCGGTGGGGGGCCGCACAAACAACCCCCAAAAACGCGGAGCCCGTGGGCCAGGGCAGGATGCTCGACACCTTCGGCACGGAGCTGAGCGCCGGCGGCAACCTGGAGGCCGACGGGGCGCAGGTGAGCATCGACAACAGCCCGCTGGCCGACGGGGGCCAGCAGAGTTTCAAGGGCTACCAGGGCAGTACCCTCCCCACCTACCTGACGGAGGTGAGCAAGAGCGACGTGCTGCAGGACCTTGCGCGGTGGGGGGCCGCACAAACAACCCCCAAAAACGCGGAGCCCGTGGGCCAGGGCAGGATGCTCGACACCTTCGGCACGGAGCTGAGCGCCGGCGGCAACCTGGAGGCCGACGGGGCGCAGGTGAGCATCGACAACAGCCCGCTGTACGACGGGGGCCAGCAGAGTTTCAAGGGCTACCAGGGCAGTGCCCACTGCACCCACCTGACGGAGGTGAGCATGGGCGACGTGCTGCAGGACCTGGCGCGGTGGGGGGCCGCACAAACAACCCCCAGAGACACCGAGGCGGTCTTGGACGGCAAGGCGACCAACGTCGATGCGTACGAGGCGACCGCCGGCGAGCCGTGCACAGGCTGGCAATGGTGGCGTGCGCGACGTGAGATAGCGGACGAGTGGATTTTCGAGATCGCCCTGGCGGCGGGCTGGGCCAGGCAGGGCAGCTTTGGTCCGCGCGCCCAGCCGCTCCACCGCGCGCTGGCCATGACACAGGCCAGCGCGCACAAGCACCCCCTGCTCCACGGCTGGGTCGACTACAGGGCCAACCGCATTGGCATGGGGCTGCAGACATGGGGGCACTCGGCGCCCATGTGGGGCGAAGGTTTCTTCGTGAACGACATGTGCCCGTTTGGGCACAGGCACTTCGCCGACGACTCACTGGTCGTCGACGACGTCCTTCAGAAGGAGGTGCAGCTCGAGCGGACCAGAGCGACCTGGCGCTCGATCGTGAGGCGGCGTGCAGGGCCGCAGCCGAGGGAGTGCGCAGAGCGGGCCGAGGAGGAGGCCACGAAGTTCAGCGTGCAGGGCCGCTGAACGGGCGCACGGTGGCGCCCCTCCCTTCCCTCCTGCCTGTGCCTCCCTCCTGCAGCTGGCACGTTCGGCATCTATCGGAGGAGCACAAAAATCCTCCTCCTCCTCCTCCTCCTCCTCCTCCTCCTCAGCGCTACGGAATGGACGCGGCCATGCCTGTGCCTCCCCTCCCGCGAGTTCTGCTCCCTCGATGGCGGCCTCCGCGGAGCCCGCCACGGCGGGCCCCTGAGCCCCATCGCGAGCGGGCCCGGGGGATGAGAATTGTACCCCCCCCCCCTTGGCGGCGCGCACAGGGGGGAAAGGGAGGAGGAGGAGGAGGAGGAGGAGGAGGAGGAGGAGGAGGAGGAGGAGGAGGAGGAGGAGGAGGAGGAAGGGGGGGGGGAAAGGCTTCTTGGAAGGAGGCTGCTTCTCAGAAGGCGCCGGCCTTACACCTGTAGATAAGAGGCCCGCGCCTCCTTGGAAGCAGGGGTGCTTCTAAGAAGCCTTCCCCCCTCCCCCTGCCCCCCTCTGCGCGTCGCCGACCCCCCCCTGAGATCCGACGTCACTACAGCAGAACGGGACGTCGCGAGAAGCCGCGACCGGAGCCTGCCCCACTTCGACCCCATGCGTCCGCGTCATCTTTCAAGCCGGATCGATCTGTGAGGGTCCCAGTGTGCCCGAAGTTGGGCGAAAACGCCGCCCGTGGCGAAGCAATTGCATCGCCAGGCTCTCCAGGCCTGGGGAAAGGGTTCGGTCGGGCATGTCCTGCCTCTGGCGGATTTCTGGCGAACAGTAAAGAACAGTCAGAACAAGTTCAAAAAGTGGCATGAAAAAGACGGGGGAATCGCCCCCTGGCTATGATTTAATGATTTGGTTTTGCCTTTCCCTCCTGTAGAGGGGCGTGCCCGACTACAGGATTAAGTCGGGCCTGTGCCCCTATACAGGTCAAAACAAACACACACCCCAGATAATCTCAGAAAAATGGTCGAACCATCGCCCCCAGGCTACTTTTTTTCATACTATTTCTGAAGATCCCCCCCGGTGGAGGGACAGGCCCGACTCAGGGAGCCCACAAAGCACGTACGCGCCCAGCTATGTACATGAACACCTCCTCTCGATCCGCGGGACCGGCCACGTGAGACGAACTTTCGGGCAATGCGTGCTCTCGAAACCAGCGTGGATTCATGTACGTGTACGTCCTTCTGTCGCTCCTGACGACTTCCGCGCACGCCGTCGGAGGTCGGGGCCACTTGTCGCGGCCCCGCTCTCGGGCCCTGCCGGCGGCGGGCCTGGGAGCTCGTCCAGGCATCGCCCCAGCCTGGGAGAGCCACACAAAAAAAAGCCCGGAGGGTTCCAAACCCAGACCCAGGCATGATAGCGTCGTTAAAAGATCAGGGCGCCAAATGTTTCACGATCTTCGGCCCTGGGAGAGAGCCACAGAAAAAGAAAGCCCGGAGGGTTCCAAAAAGGGGGCTTGTGAGGAGGGGTTTCTCCGGGCCCAGACATGAGAGCGTCGTAAAAAAATCAGGACGGCATTTTTTTCACTATTTTCGGCCCTGGGGGGCCCTTGCCGGGCCTCGGGACCGTCAAAAAACGACTCAGGACGACAAACCGGTCCCGAGGAACGGGTCGGGACTTCCAGGGACGCCGTCCTGAAAAATCACGACGTCGCATGTCTGGGGAGCCCCCGAGGGGCCTCGGAACCTCGTCAGAGCAGGGGGTGCGAAGCCCCTGGGGGGGGCCCTCCTGGGAAACCCCCTCCCCCCCCCCCCTTGGGAACCCTCCGGAAAGCAGCACCCGTGGCACGCCGTCGTCGGGAGCCCGTCAGCGCTCTTGCCGGGGGGGGGCGGACTCAAGAGTTAAGTCGGGCCCGTCGTGCTGTGCAGGGGGATTTTGGACGAGCAGTTAGAAATAGCCAAACAGATATGCAACAGTGGTCAAACAAATATTCAAACATTCGTCCCCAGACTATGTGTTGACTATTGTTGAGCATTCCTCCTGTAGAGGGACAGGCCCGACTTGACTCAAGGGTTATGATGTTCCAAGCTACTGTAGCCTTAATCACCAGAAAGAGCTCCGAGCAACAAGGAAGCACCGAACATTTTGGGTTTTCACGCGTCGGGGTCGGGCCCTGGGAAGCGATACTCGTTCGACACTGTTTCGATACTTTTCTGGGTGCTCAAGATTATTTCTGGGACGTGGTCCTTCGGTACGATGAGAGCGACATAATTCAAGGGGGGGGGAAGCATGGAGCCGGAAGCGGCGACGAATCGCCGATGGCTCGGCGATCACAGACATGATGACCGTGTCGTTTAAAAAATAAGGATAGAGGTTTTTCGCTGTTTTTTCAGCCTGTGGCGGACCTCGCTGGGCCCCATGGGACCGTCAAATTCTTCCCTCCCGGCATCCCTCGCGCCAGCGGTCGCCGCGCTGCCAGCGGTCGTCGGCAGGGCCCCAGCCGCCGCTGGCGCGGCCGCCGCTGGCGGAGGGCTGCGCGGCACCTCCGGAGCCCCAGCTGTCGCGACCGAAGTCCTCCGGGCCCTGCCCGGGCCCAGGCGCGCGAGGCTCCACTCTGACCAGGGGAAGTGGCCTAAGCTTCTTAGCAAAGCTGAGCAGCGAAGCCGCCTTTAGTGTGTTTCTCGACTGCGTCGTATAGCTCGATGCTCGATGCCCCCCGCAGGGCCCGGGCCCCAGGTGTGAGGGGTCCGTGGCAGCCTCGCCGCCCCCTAGCCTCCTCGCCTGGCCCCACGGCGCGGAGGCGAGCAGGAGGAGTGGGGGAGCGGGCTCACCACGTTCTGTTGCATCTCTGGCGGGCCTTGCGTCTGTCCCCTCGCGCCGCTGTCCGCGTCCGCGCCGAAGCTGCGTCGAATCCACATCAAATCTACATCGAAGCCGCGCCGAATCCACTGCGAATCCGTGTCGAATCCGCGTCGGATGCACGCCGAATCCGCGTCGAATCACCCAGTCAAACGTCGGATGCAAGAGAAGACCGCCACTCACATGACTGTGACTGACAAGGGCCCCCAGAGAGGCATCGCAAATCACGGTGAGGGAGCGTCAAGCTGCTATCTTTTGTTACTGGCGGTTCGTCCCCCAGTTCGCAGTGCAAGCCCCTCACATGACACACGCGAGGCCACGAGGCCAAATACGCCCTGTACATCGTTCAAGAGGGGATCCAAATCCTGGACGGACCACATCAATTGAGAAGATACGGTTTTTCCGTGTCTGTTGCTGTCCACGCTGTTCGGTCCAAGATGGCCGCAGGGCGGCCGAATAGCAATCATAAGGCACCACAGCACGATAAGCAAGATAGCCGCGGAGGGCCCCAGAGGCTGCCAAGACCGCCAAAAAAGGGCCCAACCCATGGAGAGACACAACAAAGGCCTCCAAGAAGCCCCACGATGTCCCGATTAGAAATCCCTGATAGCAAAAACCATCGAGGAAACACACAGACATATACATATGTGTATATGTATGTATGAGTATATGTATATGTGTATATATATATATATATGTTTATATCAAGTCAGCCAGCGTGGACGCCAAATATTGTGATTCTAGCCATCTACGGGGTACCATCTATGTCTTGCAATGTATGTGCAGCATTCTGTGTGGTGCAATCTACGTGGTGCAGTCTATGATGCGCAATTCATTTGCCGAACTTGAAGTTGTCAACTCCGCTGCTCGCGCAATCATCCCACCCACCCACCTGCAACTTGGTTTGCAAAAAGGCATGCGGGACCGAGCACAGATATCGCTCCGGGGTCGTCTTGGAGCCCTCGGGGGCGTCTCAAGAGCGGCCCAAGAGGGCCGGAGAAGCAAGACGGCCGACGACGACGACGACGACGACGACGACCACGACGACCACGGCGGCACCGACGACGGCGCCGACGTCGACGACGACGAAGACGACGACGCCGACGCCGACGACGACGACGAAGACGACGACGACGTCGCCAACGAAGACGACGACGAGGGAGGAGGGAGGACGACGACGGCGACAACGACGACAACGACGACAACGACGACAACGAGGGAGGAGGGAGGACGGCGACGACGCGAACGACGAAGAAGGAGGAAGGACGGCGACGCCGACGACGACAACGACGAGGGAGGAGGGAAGACGACGACGAGACGACGACGACAACGACGACGACGACGGCGACGAAATAGGAGGGACGACGACGAGACGCCGACGACGGACGACGACGACGACGACGACGAGGGAGGAGGAGGAAGGACGACCACGGCGACAACGACGACGGAAACGACCACGACGCCAAAGAGGACGACGACGACGAACACGAGGAAAGACACAGGACGACGTAGGCGACGACGACGACGACGCAGGAGGAAGGAGGACGGCGACGACGACGACGACGCCGCAAGAGCGCGCGCGCACGCTTTTGTTGAAAATCCGTGTTGCGAAACCTTGTGCTTTTGAAGGTTTTTTAGACGCGCGATTTTGACATCCTCCCGAAACCGACGGGTTTTGAAGGATTTCGGCGTACGCGCGCGACGACGCGCGCGTCTGCACTTCGTCCCATTTTTTGCAGAGGATTCTCGCGACGGCACACGCGCAAGGGCGTTCGACAGATTTCGACATGCGCGCGCGACGCCCGTTTGGTAGCATGTTGTGGAAGTCTTGAAAAACCAGAATGGTTTTCTTAAGATTTCGCAAGAGCTCGCGCGTAAGCTTTTTTAGCAAATCAATGTTACGAAACCATGTGTTTTTGTATGTTTGTTTTCGATATTCGATTGCGAAAGCCTTCCGGCACCGAAGGTTTTTGAAGGATTTTGGCATGCGCGCGCGACGACGCGCGCGTGTGCACTTCCTCATGTTTTTTGCAAGGGATTCGTGAACAAGTGTTACGGTTGACCTGGGACATTGTGATTGCACAGTTAGGATGGACATGTGGTCAGAATCATATGTGATTTACTACATACCCGAAAGGGGGGGCGATAACGCCGGGGGGGTAGAGTCTATTCTCTTTGTAGAAAGGAGAATCTATGTGGTGCCGTCCTTGTTGCGGCGACGAGGAGGCGACGGGGCAGTACATAAACATTTTCCGCTTGCTTGCTGGACTGCCTGGAAACATCCCACGGTTCTCCTCATCTTCCACCCTTCTCCGACGCCTCAGCCTCAACCTCCTCCTGACCCCCCCCCTTGCCCTCCCATGCCGCAGCCTGACATGCCTTCTCCGTGCCAGCCGCAGACTCAGCAGCATCAGCGGCTTCGGCGGGCGCGGCGCCAGCCGAGTGAACTGTCGCCGTCGGACTGGGCCCACGTGGTCTGCTCCACCTCCCCATCGCTCGGCGGTGCCAACGAGGGGCTGGCACGAGGGGGGGGGCCGCTCCTGAGAGGGCAGCGCGGCACCCAAGGAAGGCAAGGGGGGGCTCCTTGGCGTCGCATGTGTGTCACCACGGGCGACTTTGCCTGGTTTCGGGCCCCACGCCTATCACAGATTGATCCGGCCCGACCACATGCAGCAGAAGATGGGGTACGGGGCTCTGGTCGTGATCTGTCACGGGTGGCACGAGGGGGGGCGACGTTCTGAGCATCGAGGGAGACAAGGCGACATGAGCCTGAAATCTCGGAGCTCCGCGCGGGTTTCTTGGGTCCTGAACTTTCGGAGTCCGCGCGGGGATCAAGCAATGACACGGACACTCCTCCTCTCCCCCCCTCCTCCTCCTCCTCCTCCTCCTCCTCCTCCCTCCTCCTCCTCCTCCTCCTCCTCTCCATCATCATCATCATCATCATCATCATCATCATCCCCCTCCTCCTCCTCCTCCTCCTCCTCCCTCCTCCTCCTCCCTCCTCCTCCTCTCCTCCTCCTCCTCCTCCTCTCCTCCTCCTCCTCCTCCTCCTCCTCCTGCAGCCTCCTCCTCCTCCGGCCTCCTCCTCCCCCTCCTCCTCCTCCTCCACCTGCTCCTCCTCCTCCTCCTTTTCCTCCTCCTCCTCCTCCTCCTACTCCTCGATGTGTGTCCGAGGCCCCACTACCGCTTTCTTCGACACGGGCCTCGACCTACGCTGGGCACCAGCATAAAAAAAAGCTGTGCCGCCTCACTTGCGCCGCTCGAAGGCCTCCCAAATGGGGTCCGCACGCATGGGATCGGAGGATCGCGCCGCATCGCCGATGCTCCGGGTCGGCCAAGACGGGGGCGTCCAAGACGGGGTGGCGCAAAATCATGGCCGGCGGCATGTGCGTGGCCCATGGGGGGGCCAGGGACGTCATGAAATGAGAAAGAGGCGCCATGAAATCGGAGGAAAAAGATCCTGCCCCCCGCCATGATCTCCCCCCCTCCGTCATCACCCCCCTCTCTGCCGCCCCCGACATCGGCGGCGTCGGCGATGCATCGGCGCCGCTGGGACGGAGAACGCCGGGCTCCACGTCGGGCTGCATCCCCGAGGCCTCGGCGCTGCGGCGGGGTGGAGGCCTCGAGTGGCGCGAGGGAAGCGGCACGGCCTTCGCGCGGGGATGCCCAGCGTGGGCCTCGTTAACCCGCGGCGAGGACCGCGGCAGCGGGCCTCGGACGTACATCCGGCAGTCCCCAGCGGAGGAGGCGGAGAGCACTGTGAGGGGGGAGGAGGAGGAGGAGGAGGAGGAGGAGGAGGAGGAGGAGGAGGAGGAGGAGGAGGAGGAGGAGGAGGAGGAGGAGGAGGAGGCTGCAGGAGGAGGAGGAGGAGGAGGAGGAGGAGGAGGAAGAGAAGAACCAGTGCAAACCCAAGACTCACCAGCGACACTTGAATGAACCGTTCTTCAAAACTCCCTCTTCATGGGACCCTGCACGCATTCATTTCCACTGCAAGACGTGGCACGTTGGGAGACAACCTTTTGAAGATCCTAAAACGTGCCCGAAAACCATTATCGGGATTCCAACGCCAACCGGACTGCTGCGGCTGGACGATCCTGAATCGTGCCAGAACTCCATTATTGGGACTTCGGCACCGCGATTCAATGTAACTCTTGCGCCCAGACAAGCCTGAGCCGTTCCAAAACACAATGTCTGGTACGTCAACCATGGGAATCCGTGGAATTTCTTGCAAATTTGAAAACTCATGTGCGCGGCGCTAAGGCCAGAACCAACGGTTGAAAAAGAATCGCCCTAAATCCGTGAACCTTTCGCTAATGTGTTAAACGGATGTGCACGGTGCCAAGGCGAGAACCACATTTTGAAAACAGCCCGCCCTCAATCCGTGAAGCTCCTGCTAATGCTTAAAAAGAATGTGCGCGGCGCTAAAACATCCACAGTGTGAAAACCCCCCGTTCTCAATCCGTGAAACTCTTGCAATGCTCAAGACAAGTGACTCAAGTGTGCGCAGCGCTGGGGCGAGAGCCACATCTTGGAAGGGGCCCGCCCTCCATCTGTGAAGCTGCTGCCAATGTTTCGTCTTCGAGCTCGCACATGGTAAAAACGTATCGGACTAAGCGCCCCGCACGGTTCCGGGGTGCTACAGGGAGGAATAACTCAAAATAACAAGGAATGGAGGAGGAGGAGGAGGAGGAGGAGGAGGAGGAGGAGGAGGAGAAGGGGGTGGATGTGGAGGAGGAGGAGGTGCAGCAGGAGGAGGAGGAGGTGGAGGAGGAGGGGGAGGAGAAGGAGGGGGTGGAAGAGGAAGAGGTGGAGAAGGTGGCAGAGGAGGAGGAGGAGGAGGAGGAGGAGGAGGAGGAGGAGGAGGAGGAGGAGGAGGAGGAGGGGGACGAGGAGGCGAAGGGTCAGGAGGAGGAGAAGCAGCAGGAGGACGAGGAGGCGGCCTGGAGCCACCCCCCCTTTCTGGGCGCCGCCCACCTGCCGCCCCGGGGCCTCGGCCCACCGCTCTGCCTCGGCGGCGCGGCGCCACGCGGCCTCGCGGTGCTCCGCCCCCGCCGCCCCGCGCTCCGCCTCCGCCGCTCGCGCGCGGCGAACGACGCCAGCGACGACGACGACGACACCGACGAAGATCGACGACAACAACGAAGATCGACGACGACGACGAAGACGACGGACAGCGGACGAACCACGACGACGACGACGACGAAAGACAGCGGACGAACGACGACGACGACGACGACGACGACGACGACGACGACGACGACGACGGTCGACGACGGACGTCGACGTCGACGACGACGACGACGCCGACGGACAGCGGATGAACGACGACGAGGACGACGAGGAGGGGCCATCTGGGACCATCTGGGCCTCCTGAGAGGTGCTCTGGAAGTCTCTTGGAAATCATGTGGGCACCGTGGGCCTCCTCCTGGGGGGCCCTCGTGCCCTTCTGGGTAGGCCCGTGTCGCCACGGCTGGATATGCCTTGACATTCTAGTCACAACGCGCCTATTGACAAGTCTGGGGGGTGGCGGCATCGATGCACATACACTCATACACTCATACACTCATACATACATACATACATACATACATACATACAGACAGACAGACAGACAGACAGACAGACAGACAGACAGACATACATGCATACATACATATATACATACATACATACATACGTACATACATGCATCCATTCATATATACATGCATACCTATATATATATATGCATGCATACATACATACCTACCTACATACATGCATGCATACACGCATACATGCACACATATACACATGCATGGGTACATGCATACATACATATATGCATGCATACATACAAGCATGCATACGTACATACATGCATGCGTGTATACATACAAATACATACCCTACATTCACACATGCATGCATACATAGATCCATACATACTTACATAGTTACATGCATGCATACATACCTATGTACATACATACCCACATGCATACATCCACACCTACACACATGCCTACATACATATACGGATACATACACGCATACACCCATACATGCATACACTTGTGCATGCACACGTACATGCAAACGTAGATGCATGCACACATATACCTATATATATATACATAATTGCATGCGTGCGTGCATGCATGAAGACATGCGCACGCATACGTACATACATATATACATACATACGTACATACATACATACATACATACGTACGTGCATACATACATACATGCATGCATGCATACATGCATGCATACATACACACATAAATGTATGCATGCATACACATGCAAACATACATTCATGCATACATACAACCATACATGCGCACATGCAGTTTGTTTTATGTTGGGGCATACTATTTATGAATCTGTACACGTATATGTCATATACAGCGTTATGACGTTGTACATACATACGACATGATGTGACCTATGTAGGACATAGATATGCACATATCTATGTACATGTATATATACACAGGGAGAGAGAAGAACAAACAACATAAACATATTGACAGAAGTATGTTTGGTATCCCCCGTAAATCCATCGGGCGGCTCTGTAGGATATAGCAAGCGCCGCGGCAGTTCCAGAGCGCTCCGGATCGCTCCGAGAGCGTTCCAGAGCGCTCTGGGACGATCTGTCCTGGTCCAAGATGGCCCAAATAGGGCCCCAGGAGAGGCCCAAGAGAGCCCCAAAGACGGCCTCAAGGGCTCACCAAGAGGCGACTTTTAGGGCTCCAAAGGGGGGGACCCTAATTGAAACTCCCTTCTTGTTTGATCGATGCCCTCCAAGATGACCCGGAGAGCACCCCTGAAGCTCCCATGAGCGCCCCCAAAGGTCCCCAAGACGCGCCAAGACGGCCCCAAGAGGCGCTCGCCATCCAAGAGACTCCATACGAGGCCTGAAGATGATCCCCGAGGTACCCAGCTCTCCCTCCTTCTCCTCCTTCTCCTCCTCCTCTTCCTCCTCCACTTCCTCCTCTTCCTCCTCCTCCTCCTCCTCTTCCTCCTCTTCCTCCTCCTCCTATTCCTCCTCTTCCTCCTACGACGACCTCCTCCCCCTCTTGGGGTATGTGACAGCTTCCCCCGCCCTCCGTTCTTCTGCATGCTCCCCAACTTCCTTGATCACCTCAACTCCCCTCGGCATCGTTTCTGGATGTGCTGGTGGGGATTTTTTGGTCGCTGCCGCAAGCGAAGGCGCAGGCGGCATCAGAAGTCGTCCCGGGCTACGGGCGAAACCTGATTATCCAGCGAGCGCACTCGGGGCTGCCAGAGCTGCCGCCGAGGGACGCTGGGCTGCGCCGGGGGCTGAAGGCGGGCTGCACTGAGTGGGAATACTTTTTGATTGGCGGCTCCAAGGAAGAGTCCAAGAAGCGGGGCAAGCACGTCTGGGGCACAGGCGAGATAATTGGTTACGAAGGCGCCTAGGCCGACGACTGAGTGGGGATACGCGAAGCGTCAACAGTTTGTTGTCGCGGATTCATGTTTGATGGTCCCGGGGCCCGATGACGGGCCCCGGAGGCCGAAACCGAGGAACAGCGCCCAGATTGAACGAAAGCCTATCCTCGGAGATCTGGGTCCGTGGCCCGCCCAGCCGCCTCCGCCAGGCGGCCTCCCGAGCGCGCCCAAGGGCCGGCGGCATCGCCCTGCGGCGGCCCCGACAGGGGGGCCGACGGCAGCGCCTGCGGCGGCAGATCCCGCATGACCTCTTCGGCTACAGTCAAACATTGTTTCAAGAACAGGTGTGAAGGACGCAAGATCCTTGGATGCCGAAGTTGGGATCTTTTCGGGCGGCGGGCGAACAGTGAAAGGGTTGAGGACGGGCCGCAGAGGCAAGGATACGAGGGCACCCTAGATGAAGGCGCGCGTCCTTGCTAGGCTTGTGGATGCCACGACAATGGACACCCTAATAGTCCAATCATTGAACTTAAAATGTGTTTAACAAGTCGGGAGCATGTTCTAAACATGTTTTGAAACATGTTTTTACATGTTTAACACATGCTTTAGACATCTGGGAAGTACTTGGTCACATGCTTCCTCTCCACTGATCGCCTCCCACAAACCTAGATGAAGGCGCGCGTCCTTACTAGGCGCGTTGGCAGTGCACGCGAGAAGTGAACCCATGGGCAAGAGCGGCCTTCGGCGCGCGGCCCTCTGGAGGCGCGGAAGGGGCGGGACGAGGCCAGGACGAGGATAACACCGAGTGAGGATAAATCGGACGGAAATCTCTGAGATCCAGCGTCTCTGGAGGATGTCCCGGGCGCTGCGCCCTTCTCAGAGCGTTCCGGAACACTCTGAGAGCTCCGGAATGCTGTGAGAGAGCTCTGGAGCGCTCTCGAGAACACACAGATATCCTCGTCCTAGCCCCGACCGAAGAGGGGAGGGCAAACGCAAGCGCGCAAGCTGCTGCCGTCGCCTTCAGCGATCGGGGGGCCCCAGAGTCGTGGGCGACGAGCACCGCGCCCCCGCGGAGACGGAGCCTTTTGTCGAGACGCCCCGCGCGGAACGAAACTGTGCGACCGCGTATCCGCGGGATCGCGGCCGGGACTCCAGACCGCGAGGGCGCGGATGCGGCTATGCTCGCCGCTCGTGACAGGCCCAGACCCCCGACGTCATGATTTGTTTCAGAACGTCGACCCCAGAGGTCTCGACCCCTTCCCCAGGACAGGTTTTTCATCCTGAGTCGATGTTTGACGGTCCCGAGGGCTGGAAAGGGCCTCCAGAGGCCGAAAATTGCAAGAAACCTACCGTCGTGATTTTTTCATAACTGGAGGGGGTCTGGGGAGGCCCCGCGCCAAAGCTCAACCTGGCGACGGGTCGCTCTTGCGCGCAGCCGACCTCTGGAAGGCCCCTGGGGCGGAGCCCCTCCGGCTTCTGGGACGCGCGGTGGAGCGCAGTGGCGAGGTGGAAGGCGCGCGCCCGCTGCTTCTTGTTGACGCCCGCGCCGACTGCGAGGCATCGGCCGACGGAGGCGATCTTCGAGGAACAAAAGCTCCGCCCCCGCAAGATCGGGAGCGGCCAAGAGGGGGGTGTCCAAGAGGGGGGGTGCAAATCATGACCGGCGGCACGTGCGCGGCCCAGCGGGGGGGCCAGGGACGTCATGAAATAAGACGAGGCGCCATGAAATCTGGGAAACTATCATGGCCCCCGCCATGCTGTCCACCCCCCCCTGGTCATCACCCCCCTCTCTGCCGCCCCCGGCAAGGAGGGACCCCAGACGAGAGTGACCTCTGGTGCGCGGCCTGCGGGGGCCGCGCGGAGGCCAGATCGCCACGCGCGCCAGACGATGCCGAGGGGGGCCCCTCGTGGGCCAGCAGCAGAGCTCCCTCCGGCGAGGGGGGCCACTCCTTGCGCGCGGCAGGGAACGCGCACTGGCGCACATGCTCGGAGGTCCGCGCTGGTCTCTTGGATCGGCGGTGGACCCCTTAACGGGGCATCTGTCGACTCCTATCCCAGGCCTCGTGGGGTTTTCGAGTGGACCCGAATTTTTGCGCCCAGCCCTGGGATGTACGATGGGGGGGACCCCAAAGTCCTCGATAAGGGGTGCGTCCGAAGAGTAGCCCCCTTGGGGTGTATCTCAGGGCTTCCTCTTCTTATTGACCAGGCAAGCTTTCCTGACCAATATCTGGGAAAAATCGCCGGCGACCCCCTCCCATGGCAGGCGGAGCGCGCCAGGGGCGGCGCTGGAGGCGCCGCCAGGGGCTCCCGCGTCCCCAGGTAGCCCCGGCTGGCCTCACAAGGCCCCCCCGAATACGGTCGGCCCTGGGACGGAAGAGCGTCCGTCAAGAGCAGGAGGCCCTCCGCCGGCCAAAAACTGAGGAGCCCTCGAGGGTGCCCTACCCCAGGATGCGAACGAACACCCCACAGGCACGAAGAACACTGGGGCACCCTCCCCGAACCGACCTCGACCTCATACCTCGGCCCAGCCGCAGTCCGGGGCGGTCTCAGCACCCCAATACGCTGGGGCGTGGAGCGCCCCCAGGGGCGCTGCAGGAGGCGGCGCCTGGGCGTCGAGACCTTCCCGGACCACTCAGGGGGGGGGGGGGGCCTGCCGAGGCCACCCAACGCTGCGCCTCGATCCAAGATGCCCGCGCGGGCCTCCGAATACCTATGCTCGTATGTCACGCTTCGTTCCTCGCTATCAGCAGCGAGCCGCCCAGCCCGAAGACCTCTTCGAGACCCCCCGAGAGGGGGTCGGAGTCGATGGGGTCGGAGGATCGCGCCGCATCGCCGTTACATCGGCGATGCATCGCCGAGGCCTTGGCGATGCACCGGCCCGGCGACGTCGGCGACGCATCGGCGCCGTCGGCGTGGAGAAAATCGGGCCCCACCCTCCAGCCGCATCGCCCATGCTTCGGTGATGCGGCGTGACGACGCGGCGTGACCGCCCGGCCCCCTCTGCTCGGTCCCCATCTGGGCGACCTGGACCTTTGGCCCGTCCGGCACCACGGCGCACAGGCGCTCGTCACCGGGCTGCGCCGCGTTGCAGCCGGGCCACACCTCGCGGGTCCCGCGCTCGGGCAGCTCCTCGCCCCACAGGTGCCGGGCCTCCTCGGCCCAGCCCAGGGCGAACTGCACGTGCTTGTGGCGCGGGTCCTCGCAGACGATGACCGTGACCACCTGGCCGCCCACCTCCCCCCGGTAGTGTTTCACGCCGTGCTGCTCCGCGTGGCCGTCCCGCAACGGGGCCTCTTCGCCGAAGCGCGGCGTGCCGTCGGGCGCCTGCTGGTGCTCGCACTTCTTGCCGTGGTCACCTGCGCCCTGCGCCTCCTCTCGGCGGCGCGCACGAGGGGTCGAGTGGAGGGGAGCGGGCTTCCTGCGGAGGCTCCTCCATGGAAGGAGCGAGCCGCTGAATTGCAAAGGAAGAGATCCGCTACAAAAAGACCACCCCATCTACTGATTCGGCGCCCCCTTTCCTGCCCTCTGCAACTGTCAAAACCAAGATTTCAACGTTTGCACACAATCGGTCTACGTTCGAACCCAGCTCTTCCAATACAGAGCGGTTTCCAAGACATGGCAGAACAGAGCGAGCTAGATGAAACTCGTTTGTGCTTACAGATGCTACACCTGTTGCATTGACATGCGCGATTTGATGACTCGCTTCGTTTCGCCTCAACTCTCGGTCCTGCGTCCGTTTGCCTTGGGGCACCTGTGGAAATACAGAGGAAGGGGCGCTGCTTTTGGATTAAAAAAAAGGCAGGGGCAGCAGGAAGTGGCATGGGTCGCCCCGAAGTCGGGCTCAGCATACACCCCTCATGTGAATTCCCCCCTTCCCTCCTCCTCCTCGTTTCTCCTCTTCCTCCTCCTTCACATCGTCGTGTTCCAAATTGTCCTCAGCCCCTCCCTCTTCCACATTCTCCTGCTCCTCAGCCCAGCCGGATGTAACCTCAACGAACTTGCGCCTGCAATGCCCCGCCGCCAACGCCCCCGAGACCCGACGCCGCATCCCTTGGAACCCCTAGGCGGCCCACGGATGTTCACGGGCTTCAGCCCAATACCGCTTCGGGCGCTCAGTAGCCCCCAAATCCACCACAGCAAAGCGGCCAGCGGACCAGCGGATATGGCGAAAGCCGCAGAAACAGACTTTGCATCATAATCGTCGTCCTCATCCTTGTCGTCGTCGTCCTCCTCCTCCTCCTCCTCCTCCTCCTCCTCCTCCTCCCCTTTCTTCATGACCATCGTACTCCTTGTTCTTCGCAGTAGTATCATAACCACACTCCGAATACAAGCCCCCATGATTCTCCTCATCAATAATCGAGCCCCTCCATCTCCATCCTCATTTCCCATGCCTGATCATCCCCGTCCGCGTCGCCAGCTGGTGCCCATGCCGCTCAAGCTTCCCGCCGCAGCCCGACGACCCTATCAGACGCCGCTGCTGGCCTGCAAGGCAAGCGCTTTCCCTGAGGACCCAGACCCCCGACCTCATGTGTGTTGGCCATGACGTGGGCCCCAACGATCTGGACAGACTCCCTGGGACTGGCTTTTCATCCCGAGTCGTCTCTTTTGACGGTCACGAAGCCTGGTGAGGGCCATCAGAGGCCGAAATGAAGGACAAACCTTCCGTCATGTTCTTGTTCACGACGCGAGGGGGTGGGGGTCTGGGGACGGGGGGGAGCTCCCAAGAGACCCTCCCCCCTCGCCGCGCCCCCCCATCTGCGCGCCGCCGATCCTTGCAGCGGAGGCAGCAGAAGCCCGCGAACTTGCCGTACTCGCGGCCACGCGGCCCTGCCGCCTCCGAGTGCACCAGCAGACCGCACCCGCCCCTGCAGGCAAGGAGACGGGACATCCGCGCCGGCAACAGCCAAAGAGGAGAAGCAGACTCCACAGCCATCGAGCACGTACGGTTGGGAACTTTTGGATGGCGTGTCGCGGCGGCGGCCCCAGCGACACGCTATGCCTTGCGAGCGGATAACGTGTCGCTCCGCGCTGCGGGGCGGGAGACTGGGAAGGCTCGAGACGTTGACGTTTGGGAGTGGGGAAGTGGATAGGGTGTCGCACCGAAGCGTGGTGGGCCAGAACCGGCGGAGAAGCACGCTCTCCAGAAGTCCCCGACCGTCTCCAGGGAAGTCCGTTCCCTGGGCGGTGACACGCACGAGAGCCACCCGGCACTGGACGACGATCAATCGTGCCACCGCCCAAGGGGTGGGTCCCCCCATGGCTTCGAGGTGGCGGCGGTCCCTCGGAGCAGGACGAGTTGGGACAACGGCAGCTCAAAATCGGTCCCCAGACCCCTTCCCAGGGTCGCTTTCCGAGCTGCGTCCAGTCGTGGCGGCGAGGGGGCCCCCCCAAGGCCACGCACCGCCGCCGCAGCCTCGCCATCGCTCGGACGTCCATGCTCCGTGCATCCTTCGGTCTCGTGCGTGTCTCGTAAGATGACCAAGCTGCTCCTCGATGACCCTCGCGGAGAATAACTGGATGCACACGCCCGAACGCTGCCAAGCAACTCGCCCTCCCCTGAGTATCCGCTCCTCCTCTGCAGCGAGCTGATGGACCTGTTTTCCACCACCACAACCACCACAGGTCGGAGGGGGGAAGGAGGTGGAGGATGAGGAGGAGGAGACGGACGAAGGGGAGTAGTAGGAGTAGGAATCAAGCAAGCCAGCTCGAGCGAGTCAAACATGGCATCCCCATTCCCGCCCGCCCTCCCACAACATAAGAAACAGTGCCGGCGCAACCTGGGACCGAAGTCAGATCGGCAAAGTGATTTGCCACAGCTGATGCAGCCGCGATGGTGGCTACCGATTGGAAAATCCTAGCGCGGCTCAAAGACTGCGCTGGCATTTCAGCACGAGCCAAGGAGGCCCCGGGAAACCTCAGGAGACCCCAAGAGGTCTCAGGAGGCCCTAGGAGGTTGCAGGAAACCCTAGCGAACCCCAGGAAACCCCAGGAGGCTTCAGGAAGGCCCAGGAAGCCCCAGGATGTTCCAGGAGGCTCCAGGAAGCCTTCGGAAGTGTCAGGAAGCCCCAGGGACTCTCGGGAACCCCCAGGATGCCTCAGGAGGCCCCACGCGGATCCACGAGGCCCTGGGAAGCCCCGGGAAGCCCCAGGATGTTCCAGGAGACCCTGGGGGGCCCCAGGGGGCCCGAGGCGCTCGACGAATTGACGAGCGAAAAATGTGCGCCGCACCTGACCGGGAGTGCAACTTTCAGAAAACATGCGCGCGGCGCCGACGCGGGAGCGATATTGTGCCCTGTCGCGCGCGATGTACACCGCGCCCCATTCCTGCCACGCATTTCGCAAAGCCGACGACGACAAAGTCCTCGCTGAGAAGAAACATGTCGACTTTGCACTTGTTTTTGAGATGGCCGCTCCCGCTTGGGGTTGCCCTAGATGTCCGCGCGCGATGTGCGCCGCGTCCCGCTCCTGCCACGCATTTCGCATCGTCGACGACAAGACAGGCCATGCTGAGAGAAACAACGACGACTTTGTACGAATTTCTAACAAATCGGATTGGAGGGCCCGGACTGACGGCCGCGCGCGATGTGCGCCGAGTCTTGATCGTCGACGACAAAAAAACACATTGAGAGAAACACGACGACATTGAATTCATTTTTTACAATGAGGATGGGGGGGGCGGATGGGACCGCTATCGGGCGGCGAGAGGGGGGAGCAAGAGTAGATTCTAATAGGGAAGAAGGATACTAGTAGGAATCGGAGTAGGAGTCAAGCTAGCCAGCTCGAGCGAATCAAGCATGGCATGCCCATTTTCACCCGCCCTCCCACAACATAAGAAACAGTCCTGGCGCAACTGGGGACCGAAATCATATCGACAAGGTGGTTTGCCACAGCTAATGCAGCCGCGATGGCGGCTGGCGCGTCTCAAGAACTGCGCTGGCATGCCAGCACGAGCCGAACAGGCCCCAGGAAGCCTCAGGAGGCCCCGGCAGGTCCCAGGAGAAACCCCAGCGACCCCCGGGAAGGCCCAGGAGGCTTCAGGAGGGCCCAGGAAGCCCTAGATAATTTCAGGAGGCTTCAGGAAGCCCTAGGAAGTACCAGGAAACCCCCGAGGAATCCCAGGAACCCCCAGGATGCCTCAGGAGGCCCCAGGAGGATCCACGAGGCCCTGGGGAAGCCCTGGGAAGCCCCAGGATGTTCCAGGAGACCCTGGGAGACCCCAGGGGGCCCTAGGCGCTCGACGAATTGGCAAGCGAAAAGTGCGCGCCACGTCTTACCGGCAATGCGATTTTCAGAAAACATGTGCGCAGCGCCCAGGCGAGAGCGACATTTCGCCCTGTCGCACGCGATGTGCTCCGCGCCCCCCTCCTGCCACGAATTTTGCAAAGCCGACGACAAGAAATCCCCACTGAGAAGAAACATGACGACTTTGCTTGTTTTTGATAAGCAGGATGGCCCCTCCCGCTTGGGGTTGCCCCAGACGTCCGCGCGCGATCTGCGCCGCGTCCCATTCCTGCCACGCATTTCGCATCGTCGACGACAAGAAAGGCCATGTTGAGAGAAACAACGACGACTCTGTCTTGATGTTTAACATTTCGGATGGGAGGGCCCGGATTGACGGCCGCGCGCGATGTGCGCCGCGACCTATTCCTGCTACGCATTTCGCATCGTCGACGACAAGGAAAGCCATGTTGAGAGAAACAACGACGACTTTGTATTGATTGTATATAGGTAGGACGAGAAGGCCCGGATGGAACTCCTATCGGCCGACCAGAGAGGGGAGCACGAGCACGTAGCCGCAATTGCGGAAAAGAATGAGGGGGCGGACGCGGGGTGGGTCGCGGGGTGGGTCGCGGGGTGGGTCGTGGGTGGGTCGCGCGGGTGGGTCGCGCGGGTGGGTCGCGGGGTGGGTCGGGGTGGGTCGCGGGGTGGGTCGCGGGTGGGTCGCGGGTGGGTCGCGGGCGGGTCGCGGAGCGGGGGGGTGACGACGCAACAAAACAACAACAAAGCAACAACAAAACAACAACAAAACATCCACAATAATCCTCGCCGTGGATCCCCACGTCAGCCACGCACCCAGGGACAGTGAATGCCTGTTCGGGCCCCCTCACTCTGACACTGAGCGCGGTTTGGGTCGCGGGTGGGTCGCAGGTTCTCCACCTGGAACGAATGCAAAAGAAGCTAGCCGCAGGCGCCGAAAATTTTGGGTGGGTCGCGGGGTGGGTCGCGGGTGGATCGCGGGTGGGTCGCGGTGGGTCGCGGGTGGGTCGCGGGCGCGGTTTGGGTCGCGGGTGGGTCGCAGGTTCTCCACCTGGAACGAATTCAAAATAAACCCGCCGCAAGCGCCGAAAATGGGTTTTGGGTGGGTCGCCGGGTGGGGTGGGTCGCGGGTGGGTCGCGGGTGGGTCGCCGGTGGGTCGCAGATGGGTCGCTGGGGGGGGTCTCGGGGTGAATCGCGGGTGGGTCGCGGGGTGGGTCGCGGGTGGGTCGGTGGGTCGCGGGTGGGTCGCGGGGTGGGTCGCAGGTGGTTCGCGGGGTGGGTCGCGGGTAGGTCGCGGGTGGGTCGCGGGTGGGTCGCGGGGCGGGTCGCGGGGCGGGTAGCGGGGCGGGTCGCGGGTGGGGCGACGACAACAACAAACAACAAACAACAAACAGCAAACAACAGCTACAGCAACAACAACAATATTAACAACATTAACAACAACATTAACAACTACAACAACAACAGCAACAACAGCAACAGCAACAACAACAAGAATCCGCATCGCGGAATTCCACTTCAGCCACGCACCCAGGGACAGTGAATGACCGTTAGGCTCACTCCCCTCACTCTGCTTTGATATTCGAAAAAAGAACAAGGATCGGAAGGGGGAGGAAGCAGAGGAGGAGGAAGCGGAGGAGGAGGAGGAGGAGGAGGAGGAGGAGGAGGAGGAGGGAGGAGGAGGAGGAGGAGGAGGAGGAGGAGGAGGAGGAGCCCCTCCCCCTGGCACTTCTTCTGGTGGTGGTGGTGGTGGCAAGCGAGCCCCTCACGAGCCGCCCCGCGGCGCGCCGCCGCACGAGGGCCTGCCCGACGCGCCCGAGGGCCCGGGCGGCGCGCAGCCGCCAGGGGGCCCCCGGCCGGCGGCCCGCAGCCGCCGCCGCGCGAGCGTCTCGGGCGGGCGTGGGCCCGCGGGGCGCGGCCGCCTCGCGGGGCGCGGCAGCCCCGCGCGCGCGCGCGCCGGCCTGCGCCGAAGCGGACGGGACGAGCCGGGCCGGGGGGAGGGTCTTCCTCTTCCTTCTCCTTCTCCTCCTCCTCCTCCTCCTCCTCCTCCTCCTCCTCCTCCCCCTCCTCCCTCTCCTCCCTCTCCTCCTCCCCCTCCTCCCCCTCCTCCTCCTCCTCCTCCTCCTCCTCCTCCTCCTCCTCCTCCTTCTCCTCCCCCTCCTCCCCCCCAAAGACGAAGCCAGGACGAGGACGGCATCGGGTGGAATTTTGGGGGGGCCACCTGGCCCGGGTCGGTGCAAGCTGGGGCCAGGCAGGCACTGCAGGACCCTGCAAGAACTCGAATGCAGGATCCTGCAGGGTCCTGCGCCCCAAGCCCGAGTCGGTGCGACCCTGTGGCCCTGCAGGCTACTGCAAGATCCGGCTCTCTGACTGACCCCTGCTTGCAGCATGACGCCCGTCTCTTGAGCCCCGAGAAATCGAGAACCTCTGAGATGCGGCGGCTCTGGAGGATGTCTCGGGCGCCGCGGCTGTCCCATGGCGTTCCAGAGCGCTCCGACAGCGTTTCGGAGCGCTCTGGAACGGATTCCACTTCGTCCTGGCGTCCCGTCGAGCATTTGGGCGTCGAGCGCTCTGGAACGCCAGGTCGAGCGCAGGCGCTCCTGAGGGCGCCACACTGGGCTCTCGAGCGTGTCGTTGCCGAGGGGCTGTTGGGCGTTGCGTCACTGGGGGGGGGGGGGGGGCGAAGAGGCGCGCACGCTGCATGCCCCCCTCGCGGCCCCAGGGGGCCA